CCCCAAAACCCCAAAACCCCAAAACCCCAAAACCCCATCGCACACAAATGTTCTTGACAACAACTAAATTTTAATATTATGCCGCCTTTGCTTCTCCTTCTGCTTCCTCCGGTGGATCATCCTTATGCAAAAGCTCCTCTGTTGTCATAAACCACCATTTCACGAATTTCTCTTTATCAATGTACCCAGTACCGTCATCAAGATAAGGTTGAGCTTCTCCATTGACTACTTCCTGGAACTTGAAATGGAAGGACATATCATCTGAGTTAATCAAAAGGTTAAGCCTAAGCTTGTCACATAGTTCTTCCAAATCTCTAATAGATAATTGGCCTCTATTCATCTTTTCTATTCTTTCATATTTATTCATAAGTGTCTCATCATCATAATCACACTCACTCATCATTTTCTTTCTCCAGAGAGATGATATCTTCTTTCTGAAATATACTTGAGCTCTAGGATCTGGCCATTGGAACTCTCTCTTAATTTCTTCATAAGTCTCAAGAAAGACTCCTCTATGAGGCTTCTTTCTGCACCCTGGTGCATCCCATTCTTGACGACAGCATGTCCAATGAGGTTCCCACATAAGCTCTCCTGTTGAAGTATTTTGACAACTTTTAACTGAGTTTCCTATATTAATTAGTAAAGCCTAAGCATGTTTCTTACCAAAGTCCCATCTTCCTGGGTGGCATCTACAAGCTCTCCTATTGTTGTCCTCTTCTTTAAAGATAGCTCCTCATCCCCAATTCAAACAAGCTTTATCCATCTGATCTAGCTCTTTCTGCTCATCTCTTGATAGAGCATTCTTCTTTGGAGGATTCTTTTCAACATAAGGTTTGCTCTCGAGGAAATATCCTCAGAATCTTCCGTACATCTCAAATTCACTAGCTGTTGAGTTCTCACTAGCGTAATTACCTATCTTAACCAATGGCTTGTTGTAGAAATATTTCTTTGATTCTTCATCTGGAAACTCTGCAAATTTATGCTCCATAGTTGCACAAGGTGGAGCTTCATCTCCTTCTCCTCAGCAAGTCCATTCTTCTGTTCCAGCCCTTCTATCAATTTTGAAATACCCTGGATGAATATGGCATCACAGAAGAGCTTCTTTATCTTCAGCAGTTACTTGCCACTCAGGTTTGTTCTCTGGCTCTTGAAATGGTTTTCCACAGAAACTATCTGGATAGAAAGAGTCTGGATTTGGCTCTCCATGGTTAATACATAGCCTAACAAATTCAGTAGCTGGTACTCCTTTATGAAATCCTTTTCTGCAGCCAAGAGAATCCCATTCTGCTCTGCAACAAGTCCAACTCTCAGGCCAAAGGCCATGTCTTGATCCAAACTGATATTTTCCAGGATGATGACGGCATGAATGCTTATCATTTTTATCTTCTTGGTATTCTTGACCACATCCCCAATTCTTGCATCTCATGATTCTATCTGACTGTGGCTTAATTTTCTGCTTGAGGGCAGGCTGCTTCTTTAAATTTTCAGGCATATCTCCAGGATACTCATGCTTTCCTTTATCTGCTTTTGGAATCAAATACCTGTAGTTTTCTTTGAATTCTTTCTGAGCTTGACCTAATTTTTCAGAATTTCCATAGAGTAAGCACAGAATTGTAATTGTATCAATTATTTCTTGAGCTTTTGGGAATTTTCCTGCCAGTTTCTTGCTGAACAGAAAGTATCTTCCTTGGCCATCTCTTTTATTCATTGGGCCAACTCCTCTGACATATACATCGAAGCATCCAAGGTATCCTGGACGTTCGTGATTTCCAATAATGCTAACACCGCTAAATTTATCTGATATTTCATTTCCAAGATCATTGAATGCATTTACATATTCATCTTCAGAATGTCTACAGTAATCATAGTGAAGGTGGCAGTCACTACAGCGAATAATGTTGATATCAAAGTTTCCTGTATTCCACTCATGATCCATATCTGGAAGACTTGAGCTTTCAATAAGGATTTCTTGCTCCTCTTCCTCAACCTCTGGCTCTGATTCAGGCTCAGGTGTTCTTAGTTGCTGATCTTGTTCTTCGTTTTTAATAAGTCCTTCTTCATTTACCTCTACTTGATCTTGCTGGGTATGATTATCCTTTTCAACTTTGGGGACATCTCCCTCTCCTTCATCAGGCAATACAGGAGGGAGTGTCTTGTCGGCATCTTCATTTTGTTCGCTTCCTTGGCTTTCACCCTCTTCATCATCTTCCTTTTTAAATTTTTGGAATTTTTCAGGTGAGGAATGGAAGCTGTCTTTTCTCTGGTTTGCTGCTGGAGGTAACTCAGTTTTTTCTTCCTCCACTTCCTCTTCTTCAGGTTCAGGATCGGCAATGTTGTCATCACTATCTTCATATGTCCCTATCGAGACTCTTTCAATATCTTCATCTTCAAGGTTAGAGATCATGTCTGCCAATATTACCTCTTTGATGATTTTTAGAAAATTATAGTATAGCACTCCTCTATGCTTTATCTGATCGTCTTGTTCATCCAAGATTTCAGTTCCTGTCTTTGTAATGTCTACCATATCAACAATAGCAGACTTTGGCAACTTAATCTTTGAGAATTTCAGAATTTTCATAAACCTGGGAATTTCAATAGCTCCATCTTTCGTAATATCACCAGTTGACAAGATACTAGTAACTGTTAAAAGCCAGTCGTAGTTATTAGCCAACTGTTCGATTTGGTTAGAGAGTCCTGGGTTGTCAATAATGAACATGTTCAAGTTCTGCTTTACTGATTCTTCATCTGCAGCTCTCTCCTCTGCTTCAATTTCTTCCATATTATTCTGATCTCTATCATTAAGGTCTTCATTATTTGGCTCTTCCTTTACAGTTTGGAAGAAATCTGGGCTAACGTCAACATTTTTAAGGACCTCGTCTGGGATATGCTTTTCAGTTGCAAAAGCCTGTCTATTAAAGTCTGCTTGATCCTTGTCAAAGATCTTCTGCAAGAACTGTCCATCTCCATTTTTAAGTTCGTTAAGACCATCCTCGAAATGCTCCTCTATTCCTGCTGTGTCTAGTGGGTAGAAGAACACAAAGAGTTCTGCAATAGCTCCTTTAAAGGATTTAATTTTCCTGAATCTTCCCACTGAGACACTCACGTAATCGAAGGGATTGTAGTTAGAGATACTTCCAGAACTATCCATATTTCCATTAATGAACAAGGACGCATCACAGATGTCATCACCTGAAGTTCTTTTATTGAAATCCTCATTCTCGAACTCAAATCTTATGATGACACTATACCACTTGCGAGGGTTGATCTTATTTCTCTGAAATGATTCTTTCTATTTCGTCAGCTTGGTTCCTGACCTCAAGACAGATAGCGTTCTCCTTCAGGCCTACCCTAAAATCATATTCAGACGCATTCCTCCACTGATACAAGATGGAAGAGTCCTTTCCAGCTGGCTTATCAAGCCACAGCCAGAAACAAGTGGTAAATCCTCCTCTCAGATGGACTTGATCAAGGCCTTCTCTTGAAAAGACATGGTTGGACTTAGGTTTGATCTCCAAAACCCCATCGATTAGCTCTGCAAAGCCATGAGAACGGAGCGAGACACGCTCCCTTATCTTATCACTCTTCTTCTTCACCTTTTTAACTGTTGGCATTTTTATTGATTTTATTTTAGGAATAAAATTATATTAGATTTTTCAGGCTTTGAGGACAACTGTGGGGTTTTGGGGTTTTGGGGTTTTGGGGTTTTGGGG